CCTGGCCCAGCCCTGGCTGTTGCAGGAATCTGTGGAGTGAACCAGTAGATGGAAGATTCTCTAACTCTGCCTTTCAAAATAAATAAATAAATCTTTAAATATTTATTTCCATAAATGTATTAGAATAGAAATTATGAATATTAGTTCTCAACCATTTACAAAGCACTTTTTACGCATAGCATAGCCCTGAATCCTATCAATCCTCTAAGTAGACAAAGAATAAATTATGCCTCCATTTGGCAGTTAAAGAAACTCACGATGAAGGGAGTATAGTGATTTGCCCTAAGTCATTCAGCGGGTAAGTGACAGATTGGGATTTTAAAACAGGTCTTCTGGCACCAAAGTCAATATTCATTCCAAGAAAATAAATACTCTACCACTGACTGCCAAAGCACTTTTCTATCTGCTTACTCTGAGGATTCGTTTTCCCTTAAACCTTCACGCCAGAAATGTTTAAATAAATCATCAGCTCCTCTAAAGTCTCAACACAAACCTGTGTTCATGAACACTTACTCGGCAAATCTGCCACACACAGTGGCCAGAAATATATGTCTCCAGGTTTACACCTGGAGCTATACAAATCTGCAGCTACTTAGAAATCTCGGGAAACTTGGTACACTTAACACTACTTACATTTCAAAAAAGAACAGTTATAAAACATTCTATTTGTTTCTTTGCCTGCCTTACGTGATCTAAAACAAGTTAACACTCTCCTGATTCAATACTAGAATTATTTACATGGCATCAATCCAATTACCAGGCCCCATGTGTTAAGTACTGATGATTCAAAGGCAAAACAAAACACATGGACCCCAACTTCAAGGTCCCCACAAGCAAGCTGAGGACTGGTAGAAGGGAGATGTGGGTCCCAATTATTTGTAAGATGAAAACAGATGTTCAAAGTATAAACAGTGCATAGTTTGAAAATTCTTCAGGTCAAATAAAGGGATACATGAGCAGATGTATAAAGTGTGTACTTGGTAGTAGGGAGGGACTCACAGTCTCTACGATAATCAGACTCAAAACTTGGTACCTAAAGGAAGAGAAGTGGTGAACATTAAAAGAAAGCCAATAAGGCCAGAGAGAAGGAAGAGGACATATTGGAGGAACAGATATATTAAGCATAGGAGAGGCTACCTCCTGGAGAAAAGTAAAAGCAACTGTCCTACAGCTAAAGGTAAATACAACTCCACAAGGAAGGGACAATCAGAAAAAGAAAACAGACTATGCCCATGCAGGTGCCCATACAGAATCCTGTAACAACTAATCATCCTCTCACTTTGTTAGGTAAATAAAAAATATTCCTCCATCTCTGATGGTAAATGACAGAACTAGAGCACAGGAGTACATTCCAGCTAGCATTGTGATTTTACGGGTGATGATACTGAGGTCCGCAGAAGGATAGTTGTTTGTCCTATGACTCGTGAACATTCATGAGTAGGATCTTGATTGCTGGTACCTCAATCTAAGCTCTGCCATACATACTATTTCCCAATATTTACATGAGTTTGTATTGTTTCTACCACCTTCCAAAGTTCACTTCAAATATATAATAATGACTCCTAGAATTAATTTTAATAACATTTGCCTCAAAATTATTTATACTGAGGTAATATAACAGTTCATAAATCTACCTTGAAGTACCCTTAGAGTCATTTATATTATTCTTTTCCTACAGCAGTTACCTTAGAAAATTATATGTAGATTAGCTATCATAACTCACTGTATTTTATTGTTTATTATTACAAATAATGATTAGAGGTTAAAGATAATAGTGATAATATAAATATACACTTAATGCATATATAGAATCTATATACTTAACAGCTGATGAAGAAACTAATTACTGAATATACTCATGCTGGTTAAAAATAATCACACAAACATGCTTTGGAAATGTTCTCACTCATACTCTTTCCCAAAGACACAAGACTAGAATTAGTCTTACTAATGACAGAATATTCTTCTACATCAGTATGTTCCCAAGAGGAGGAAGGGGGGGAGGCAATCACCTTTCATAAGAATTCAGAGACATCACCTAAACTCTCCCAATGGCAAAAATTCAAATTAATGAATTAATGTGTCTCAGGTATCCTCATTCGTAATTTGTAACAAAAGTTTCAGAAACATTCTGCTACGAACTGTTCAAATTCCTTAAGCAAAAAAAAAAAAAAAAAAAAAAAAAAGGAAAAAGAAAAAGTTGCCTAAACACCAGATTTGACCAACATGTGAAACTTACCCATTTCACTAAACTTTATCCACTGGAAGTGAGTGCCAGAAAGAGCAACACAGCTGAAAACCTTTCCAGGAGCCCATGTATTCTGTCAAATATTTCCCCAGGTCTCCCAGAGCTAAGACTTGAAATTCCAACAGACTTTACAAAGGGGGGCGGGGGCGGGGGCGGGGGGGGGGGGGGGGCCCGGTGGTACAGACTGACAGAACCACAGGAAAGAGCTTGCAACTGGCCCTCAATAAACATCTGAGCAATGAATAATCCCATCACAAGATGTCCTGAAAGCCTCTTTGTCCTAGAACAGCAGTAAAATGTTTAATATTTTCCTATCTACTAGTTTACTTCCCAAATGGCTGAAACAGCCAGGTGTAGGAGCCAGGTACTCCATCTACATATTCCAAATACGTGGCAGAGCCCAAGTACTTCTGCCTTGCCAGACACATAAGCAGGAAGATGGATCAGAAGTGGAGCCATCAGGACTCAAACCTACACAGTGATATGGGATGCTACACTGAAAGCAAGTAGAACCCATTGCGCCACAATGTCACTCCATATTAAATGCTAACGTTTACTTTATTCAATGAAGAGAGCAGGAAACTAAGAACTTATCAAATAAAATATGTAAAACATATGTGCAAAATATGTAAAACATCTTTAAAATAAGTTCAATAGCAGAGGCCGGCACTGTGGCCTGAAGTGCCAGCATACCATATGGGCTCCACTTCCGATCCAGCTCTCTGCTATGGCCTGGGAAAGCAGTGGAAGATGGCACAAGTCCTTGGGGCCCTGTACCTGTGTGGGAGACCTAGAAGAAGCTCCTGGCTCCTGGCTTCAGATCGGCTCAGCTCCAGCCGTTGTGGCCAATTGAGAACCATCGGGAGGAAGACCTCTCTCTCTCTCTCTCTCTCTCTTTCTCTCTGTCTCTTCTCTATGTAACTCTGACTTTCAAATAAATAAAATAAATCTTTTAGAAAAAATAAGTTCAACAGCTTCCCACAAACTTTGTTTTTTTTTTATTTTTTTTTTTATTTTTTTTTTTTTTTATTTTTTTTGACAGGCAGAGTGGACAGTGAGAAAGAGAGACAGAGAGAAAGGTCTTCCTTTGCCGTTGGTTCACCCTCCAATGGCCGCCGCTGCAGCCGGCGCACCGCGCTGATCCGATGGCAGGAGCCAGGATCCAGGTGCTTTTCCTGGTCTCCCATGGGGTGCAGGGCCCAAGCACCTGGGCCATCCTCCACTGCACTCCCTGGCCATAGCAGAGAGCTGGCCTGGAAGAGGGGCAACCGGGACAGAATCCGGCGCCCCGACCGGGACTAGAACCCGGTGTGCCGGCGCCGCAAGGTGGAGGAATAACCTATTGAGCCACGGCGCCGGCCCAAACTTTGTTTTTTAATCATAAAACTCTACAGCAAATCAAGAATTATCCAGATTTTTCTACAATGTCCAAGGATCTCTGACATAAGAAATAAAATTTTACTTCAATTAAATGCTATTTTTCATCATGAAGAACATTGTGACTATTTAACATTTTGGTAAAGGCTTATAACACTTACACCAAATAATAAAACCTCAAAGTCAAGTAGTAGCAAGATGAGGACAGCTGTTATTGTATTACACCCTCTGATCAGTAAGAGAATTTGAGACCATTATCTTTGAATTGGAGTCTAGAGAGCTACTGTGTTGGCACAGCACCTATGGGATAGTCTATCCTGTTTACAACCATCAGAAACATCATATTCCCTGTGCTATCAATTAGATGCTTGATCCACTTCTGTCTGTATGTTATTTGGGATGTACAGGAGGGGGGAGAGTCTTTCAACTGGTGGTAAAGGTGCCAGTTAAGACATCTTCATCCACATTCCATATCAGAGTGTCTTCATTTGAGTAATAGCTCCACTCCCAATTCCAGCTTCCTGCTAATGTGCAACTTAGAGGGCAGCATATGATGGCTGAAGCAGTTGGATTCTTGCCACCCACCTGAGGGACCTGGTTTACTTTCCAGTTCCCAGCTTCTATCTTCCTTATGGACATTTGAAAGACATGAATTAGAAGATGGGAGTTTCTATCTCTCTCTCATAAATTAATAATTTTGAAATAAAGACTAATAATATGTTGAAGCATGAAAATGACCACAAAGGACAGCAGGTTAACTAACAGAATAATGACTGCAAGTGAGTAGCAAATATATCACAGGATGCATTTTACAGAGGCACATATTAAATAAAATAATTACTCAGGAAGATAAGGGAACATGCTCACAAACACAAAGAAAAGCAAGGTGTTTTTCATCTATTGTCATTAACATATTCAACATTTATTCTTTTCTCCACAACTATTATTCTAGAATTATTAATAGGTCTCCTGATTTATCCCTCTTTTCCCCACTTACTAAACAGACCTTTTCACTAATTTTAGAAGATTATTACATTTACTTGAAACATTACATCCAGGAGGTCAACTTGTTACTCTCAATTACCCCCACACATACACCTTCCAACAAATGCTCCAAGACGAAACAATGCCTAAAAAATTCTTCAAGACTAAAATAGTTATATCAATCCATGGGCCTCAAAACACATCACCACTAGGTTTTTGGCTTATGATCAAAACTCTGGGCAAAGTAGGACATAATTGTTATACTCAATAATTTCCTCACAGATCACTTGAATCTGAAACTGCCACATAAGGGATAAAAGACTTTTTAATATGTGTATAATGCCCAAATTCCAATACTCCAAAAGCAAATGAGTATTAAAAAAGTACTTGCCATGACTTGGGCTCTCCAAAATGGAGATAATTAATGCTGTAGAGGTCCATGTCCTCAGTGTGCCATGCGAATGTGGTTTTCCACATGCCAAAATACAGATATGGGGTATTTACACCTTCAATGGAAATACCACACTCTTCTTCAACCACATCCAAGACGGTATTTAAGCGAGCTATGTTCCATTCATCCACACCCTGGAACCAGAAGAGAGAGAAATATCAAATGTTAATAAACAGATAAAGATAACATTTACTAATCATACCACCATCTACCAAAAGTATTATACTGTATATTTTAATTTACTGAAAAGTGAAAACTAAAGCGATCATTATTGAAGAGCTACATTCATATTTCCATTATTATTATTCGAAGATTTCTACCAGCAAAAATCTGGTACCTGATTCCAAATGAAAATGAAAGTAAAGGCCCCACTCCTTACTTGCTGTTAGCAAAAAAATCAATAAATTCAAAGCAGATAATCCAATATGCATTTTCTATCTTTGGTACACCTTTCTGGATTTAGGATTTTTGGGTTTTGGGCTTTCCTATTTATTTTTTACACATAGTATAGAGATCATAGCTACATCAGATTCACCTTGAGAAGCCAATTGTAAAACTTACCTTCATTCGTCCCTCTCTCATGCCTATCCATTTCCGTTTTAGCATGTGATACATTATTTCCTTAATATGCATGGGATGACATATGATGCTTCATTACAAGTATACATTATATAAACTAAAATGTAGGTGAACAAATCTATTCCCTCAAACATTTATCATTTTCTTTTTGATGAAAACATTCAAATTTTCCCTTCTACCTTTACAAAAATAAATTATTGTTATCCAAAATCCCATACAGTACAACAGAATGCCAGAGCTTCTTTCTTCTATCTATTTTCATTTTAATACTCATTACTTAACCTTTCTCATTCCTCCCTCCCTCCCTCCTACTCTCCCCAACCTCTGGTAACCACCATTCTAAGCACCACTTTTATGAGATCAACTTCTTTTAGATTCTACATATCAGTGAAATATGCAGTACTTGTCTTCCTATGCCTGGCTCAGCTCACTTAACATAATGACATCCAGTTCTATCACTGTTGTTATAAATCACAGGAGTTCATTTGTTGTTATGGATGAATAGTATTTCATTGTGTAAATGTATACATTTTCTTTCTCAATTCAAAATTGATGGATAGTTAGGTTGTTTCCATTTCTTAGCTATTGTGAAGAGTGCTGCAATAAACACAGGAATGCAGATATCTTCAGTAAGTGAACTTCATTTGCTTTGGATATGCAAGTATATCTCGTAGAAAAATTACTAGGTTATATGGTAGCTCTATTTCAAATTTTTGTGAAAACTTCATACTGTTTTTCACCATGACTATATGTATGCAAGGGTTCCCTTTTCTCCAGTATTTGTTATCTTTTGTCTTTTGATAGTAGCCATTCAAACCAGAATGAGGAGTTAATCTCATTATTTGCATTTCCCTGATGATTACTGACACTAAGCATTTTTCAGTGGATAAAAAAATCTAAGCCACATAATGCCTGCTAAAAATACTTGCCAAATTTTGGTAAAATTGCTAGAATAACATATTCTTATAACAGTAACCCAACATGCTGGTGACATGACAGAGAACTTTATAGTCACTAATTGAAGAGTTAAAAGTGATAGGAGGGGCCAGTGCTATGGCAAAGAGGGTGAATGCCCTGGCCTGAAACACAGGCATCCCATATGGGCGCCGGTTCTAGTCCCACCTGCTCCTCTTCCAATCCAGCTCTCTGCTATGGCCTGGGATAGCAGTATAAGATGGCCCAAGTCCTTGGGCCCCTACACCCACGTGGGAGACCCGGAAGAAGCTCCTGGCTTCGGATCGGCTCAGCTCTGGCCATTACAGCCACCTGGGGAGTGAACCAGCAGATAGAAGATCTCTCTCTGTGTCTCTGTGTCTCTGTAACTCTTTCAAATAAATAAAATAAATCTTTTTTAAAAAAGCGATAGGAAAAGATTCTTTTTAAGAACTTTACCAATGAATTATTATTAACTGGCTGCAGTTCACAACTGCTTAGAAATTCTTCTAAATTATATCTTTTTCCCACATACTTTTCTCACATATTCAGAGATGGTATACATTTCTATGCAATCATACAGAAACTGCAATGCCTTTAAAAACATTTGGCCTACTCACATGGTTATTAAGGAGAGGCAGTGAATTCACTTGTCTACCAAAAAGACTCTCTAGTAACTATACCAACGGCCTCACATATAACCACATATGGGTTCGAGTCCAGTAGCTCTACTTGCAATCCAGTTCCCTGCTAATGTGCCTGGGAAAGGAGTGGAGGATGGCCAAGTTCTTAGAGCCCTGCACCCAACTGGGAGATCCAGAAGCAGCTCCTGGCTCCTGGCTCCGGCCTGGCAGAGCCCTGGACCCTGGCTCCAGCCTGGCAGAGCCCTGGACATTGCAGGCAATTCGGGGAGTAAACCAACAGAGAGAATACCTCTCTCCCTCTCTCGGTCTCTCTCTCTCTCTCTGTCACTCTACGTTTCAAATAAATAAAAAATAAATCTTAAAGAAAACCCTCTATATACTACCTTTATATAACCCTTTATATACTACTGAAAGCTTTCAGGATTGTTCTGTTTTCATTTTCATCTTTAAACAATCTCTAATCGGAGTGATAACCCAAATTTATCTGACAGGCCAGCGCCGGCTCACTAGACTAATCCTCCGCCTTGCGGCGCCGGCACACCGGGTTCTAGTCCCGGTCGGGGCACCAGATTCTGTCCTGGTTGCCCCTCTTCCAGGCCAGCTCTCTGCTGTGGCCAGGGAGTGCAGTGGAGGATGGACCAAGTACTTGGGCCCTGCACCCCATGGGAGACCAGGGTAAGTACCTGGCTCCTGCCATTGGATCAGTGCAGTGCGCTGGCCGCCGCGCGCCGGCCGTGGCGGCCATTGGAGGGTGAACCAACGGCAAAAGGAAGACCTTTCTCTCTGTCTCTCTCTCACTGTCCACGCTGCCTGTCAAAAAATAAAAATTAAAAAAAAAAATTTTTTTTAAATTTATCTGACTTTTGGGTTAGGAAAATTGTTGATAAAACAGTTACTGAGGCTGAGGATATAATTTAATTCCTAAATTCTCTTAAGTAGTCACTCCATCTACAACATAAGCCCCACACCGAGAAGTTTGATGTTTGGAAATTGGTTCAAGTCAGTAAACTTTTAGACAAGATCCTGGATCCCAACTTACCAGTTCTCATAAAAGTTTAATCAAATTATGTAAAATATTTATCTCATTCTATTTATAGATATAATCTCTTAATTCTAGTCCAATCAGACTTCAGTCCAATCAGTCTAATAATAGATTCCTATTTAAAAGTCATTACAGAAGCAATGAATCTCAAGTAATAAATGAATACCATATTAGAGGAATCATTTTTAAAGTGAATGAACTTGCGAATACAGACACAGACTAGTCCTCTGAATCTGCTATATATCCAGACCTCGAAATATTATTTCTGATGATAGAAAGTCAGAAATTTAGCCTGTATGTGAGAAAAGGCCTGAGACCAGGACCTCCTGTGGAAGCTCCAGAAGCCCAGTATTTTGCACTTCAAAGCCCTGCCCAGACCCTGATAACCTCTCAAGTGGTCTCAGCCCCTCCCACAAGGAAAGCTCCCAGGAGAATTCTCTCCTCAGGACCAAATGTGTTACCTGCCCTGATAATACAATACAGGGCAATAAAACCTTCACAGATGCCCTAAGGGAAGCCCCTCTACTCTGCCTGGTGCCAGCAAGGGGGGGGGGGGGGGGGGGATTTGCAAATTTTTATCCAACAAACCCTTCCAGCTAGGATTCCCCATCCTTTGTCCTGGAGGAGAGGGAGAGGTGAGTGAACTCCCTTATAAGCCTAGGAAGTCCAAACAGGCTTTGGGGTCGGCCCTCTGCTCTGCTGAGCCACCATCCTGGCCTGCCCAGGTGTATTCTCACCATTGAACCAGGTAACCTCGCTTTCCCCCAGTCCCAGTGACTGGGCACTCTCTCCCTTTCCCTTCCATTCTGACAGATGCCCTGTCCCCAGTAAAGCCTAACCACTTTGCTGCCTCATGCCTGAATTCTTTCTTGCATGAAGACAAGAACCCCCTGGCTTCCATGGCCTTTTCTCTGGTGACATTTCTATCTCTGAAAAATAACCAAAGGATGAATCCCTGGACATTGTAAACATGTAGGCCAAAGGAGAAGAGGACCAGAGAACAAAGAATGCTTCCCAAAAGACCAAGCTTGTAGCTGCGTATCTGCCACCCACCATGGTGAAAATCAAAGAGCCTGGCTGAGATTCATATCTTTCTTCACAAAAACATGAGGGTTCCAGTATACTGCAAGTGTCCCTTAGAGTACTAAATAAGTGAATGGAAAACAAAACTAAATAATGTTTATAACTGATGTCATAACTATCCCCACTCATCTCCAGAAGATCTAAATGGAAAGCATCCTAAAAACAATACTCAAATATGGGAGAAAAGATAACAAAATCCTTTGACATATACTACTGAAATTCTTCCTATTAATGGGCAACTAATACATTTGAAGTAGTTTATTGGAATAATTTTCATTGCCCTAATACTGATGCATAATCTCTTTTGCTAAAACAAAAACTCACCCAACTTTAATTAAACAGTTGTGCAAATATTAAGAATAAGGGAGAGATGAATTTTATTGCTTCAAAATTCCTTCTTCAATGTTTGTTCTCTACTTTTGACTAAATTGGCTAACTGCCTCTAAGGACAGGCTCTTTTGAAGAGTCCCAGGTCTCCCTCTTTTATGTAGAAAAGCAATAAACCTAGCTTAGCACTCAGGTGAAATGTGATACATATAATATCTCTTTACACAACACACAAATACACACTACGTATGTACAAAACAATCCAATGAAATAGGTAAACTTACACCCAGATGAACAAATGAAAAAAAAAAAAAAAAACAAACTACACTCTTAACTAGTAGTCGGAAGAAATGAGTAATCTATGGGACTGGCATTATGGCATACCATGTAAAGCAACCTCCTGTAACGCCAACATCCCAAATGGGTGCTGGTTCAAGTCCCAGCTGCTCTACTTCTGATCCAGCTCCATATGGCCTGGGAAAAGCAGCAGAAGTTGGCCGAAGTCCTTCAGCCCTAGCCACGTGTG